TACTCAGCAGAGCAGATCTACTTTTATCTGTGTTATATGTTGGTGCTCCATGTAAGAATTCTTTCAACAAGTGTTCTGCAATTTTTTTAAAGTTTGAAAATAGCAGCAATAGATGAATAAACAGACAAATAGCACATTGATTCAACAAATATTAATTATGTCATGTGCTATTGTAGATGTGTAAAGGTGTGATCAGATGAGGTCCAGGCAGCTATGGTTCAAATCCTGGCTGTATCGCTGGCTAGCTGTGTGATTTTGCGTAAGTCACTTACCTTCCCTAAACTTAAGTGTCTAAAATGGGGAGAAAAATAGTACCCACATTGTTCATTATTGAGAGAATTAAATGAGATATGCAAGTACAGTATTCACTCGCTCTAATGTTTAGAGGGGAAAAAAAGATAAAGTACACAATGCCTTTGAGTAAAAAGGACTGAATTTTATGCTGTTAAGATGATGCATTCGGATAGGCATTTGGGAAATAATTCACAGCTTGGTGTTTGTTCTGGTTTTTCAGTTTTTTGCCACATAAGTTACAGGCACGTATACCCTTCATTTCCTGTTCTATTACTATGAGAAATTGACTCAGTTCACTGTGGCCTAAATTGCAAAAGACATGCAAAGTTTGGCCAAGATATACTGGAGCCCACTCATATTGGCTCATGAGAATCAGCTGTTAACATTTTCAGGCATTTAATGAACTGCTTGCTAAACAGTTATTATTTTTTATGTAAACTTGTAGTGAAATATATAAAAGTGCCAGGCACAGTGACTCACGCCTGTAATCCTGTAATCCCAGCACTTTGGGAGGCCATGGTGAGTGGATCATCTGAAGTCAGGAGTTCAAGACCAGCCGATCAACATGGTGAAACCCCATCTCTACCAAAAATACAAAAATTAGCCGGGCAAGGTGGTGTATGCCTGTAATCCCAACTACTCAGGAGGCTGAGGCAGGAGAATCAAACCCGGGAGGCAGAGGTTGCAGTGAGCCAAGATTGTGCCACTGCACTCCAGCCTGGGTGATAGAGCAAGATCTCATCTTAAAAATATATATATTTATTTATTCATTTATATATATATGCAAAGATAATACAAGAAAATAAAACCACAGACCAATATCCCTGGTGTGAGTATTGATGTAAGATTTGTTACCCAGAAAAAAAACCAGGGTTCATCCACCTGGCGAGTAACAGACAACTCCCCATGAGAGTGTGGGTTTTCATCAATATGAATTTTATTACTTGGCACACATAAAGAGAGCACTGGGCACATTCTCCAAAGCAATGTCTCCCTGAGGGAAAGTGACAGGAGGGTTTGATGGGTGATGGAGATGGGAGAGGATGCATCATTGCACATAGAGAAGAGGGTCCCAGTTGCACAGATGCAGTGAGTCATTATGTCAGCACATAGATCATGTATTATGGTAATAAAGTGATAGCTCCTCCCAGGGTGTGTCCAGAGTTTGGCGTAGTAATGAGGAAAGTTAACTGGGGTTCATCTATAAGTTGCTGGGGTCTGTCAGGGGCTGTGTTAAACTAACTAGGTGACCACATTCCACACAGGGTTTGGGGGAAAAAAAGGCTGATTGCTCAAGTTGATTAAATTCCTATAGTCCCTGGAGACCCTCCCTGTCTTCTTACATGTCTTTTTTTTGTTTTTTTGTTTTTGTTTTTGTTTTTGTTTTGAGATGAAGGCTCCCTCTGTCACCCAAGGGCTGGAGTCCAGTGGTTCAGTCTTGGCTCACTACAGCCTCTACCTCCCAGACTGAAGCAATTCTCCGGCCTCAGCCTCTTGAGTAGCTGGGACTACAGGCACGCACCATGCCCAGGTAATTTTTGTATTTTTAGTAGAGACAGGGTTTCTCACCATTTTGACCAAGCTGGTCTTGAACTCCTGACCTGAAGTGATCCACCCACCTTGGCCTACAGACATGAGCCACCATGCCCAGCCTGCTTACAATGTCTTTAACAAAATACTAGCAAACAGAAATCAGGAGCACATTAAGAGGATTATACAAGATAACCATATGGGATTTATTGCCAGAACGCAAGGATGATTCAACATATGAAAATCAATCAATGTAATATACACCTCATTAAAAGAATGATAGAAAAAAACCCACACAATCTTCTCAACTAACACAGAATTGGACAAAATTCAATACCCTTCATGAGAAAAACACTCAACAAACTAGGAATAGAGGGAAACTACCACAGCATAATGAAGAGGTGATAATCAGAAATGTATATATTTGTTCTTTGTCCCTCGTTCAAAACCCTTGGAATTTCCCCAGTGATAGGGGTGAAAGAGGCATCTCTTGTTATTCATAACCAGCCCCTTTCAACAATACCTGTGTTTATGCCAATAAGATGACTGTTTATGGGCCCCTAAATAGCTCCAGGATGGGGGCTGATTGCCAGAGGAACCAACCATGTGACTAGTGGACTAGAACTTTCAGTCTGACCCCCAGACTTGAGGGAAGTGAAGAGGGGCTAGAGATTGG